TGCACCCTATACTGCAGACTGCCAGGCGCCACGCCGGGGACCGGGACGACGTTGTGGGTACGGGTCGATCAAGATCAAAGATTGTATAGCGCCGCTGCGGCGCAAGATGGGCAATTCTCCACTGAGTTGAAACGCGTAATCGCCATGGGCGCCATTTGGTGTCATATGCGCCACAGTATAATGCGCGCCAAGTACAAAAAATGTACATGCATACTGTACGTTTCTGGGCGGCGCTCCGTGTACGCGCGTGCACGGAGCGCCGCCGAGAAACGTACAGTATGCATGTACATTTTTTACGCATGGGTCGCTAAGCACAATGTTGTCGACGTGTGCAGCCATCAACCATTTTTTTCTCCTCCAGGTCTATGCATCAACAGCAAAAGCAGGTTCAAGAAAAGCTCGGAACTATAATTCTTACATTTTCCCAAGAACAAAGAAAGGCGAGTAGTAATGTAAAATAGGCAGACAATCACGCCAAAAATCAACACATAACTTAAGCTAGATTGAGCCCCTAAATTAATGACAATCATATTTGTAACAAACCTCTGACCCGTGAATGCATGTACATTGTAATAGGCTTAACATTCCACTAAACACCTGGGCATATGCTGCAAATATTTACTGGCATATAGGACAAAGGATGAAAACTGCACCACCTTCTTTAGGAGTTTTATCAAGCATTCTTTATTTCAGACAGAATGGACAGTTAAAAAACAAAAGTGCAGAAACTGTACAGTTTGTAAATTCAGATTTTTTGCACTAAAGAAAAAAACCTGAATTTTACTATGTGCTTACATTTTATTCGATTTTTCCATTAGATTACAGATGCCAATTCTAGGTTCAAAACACCCACAGGAAGGATCTTCTGAAGAGAACCCAATGGTGTCTCTGCACAAACTACTGGCGGTGTTCCAATTATTTTGAACCCAGTCAGTTTACCAATCACCTCCAAACAAGCTGAAATGGAATGAAGTGTCCACAATGTTTGAGGTCCCATACCCACCAAAACTTGTGACACCTCAACGACAAAAACGAGGATACTAAAGGAAGCTTGAGCCAGATGGGACATAAAACAGACCCATTAACACGTGCCCATTGGCTGAACGCTGAATTTGAGTTAAAGTTAATGCGCAATATGGGTGTTCAGCCAATGGATGCTTGATTTATATGTGCATGTACATGTATGTATTCTTTGACTACAAAAAGTTGCACACAATCACAGTAGATGCTCCCTTAACTGAAGATGGCATTCATCATAGGAAAAACCAAAAAAAGCTCCACTCAACGAACGAGTCAAAACATCTAAGAAAGTGCAACGGCCTCAGAACATCCTCTCACATATTACCACTCCAGCTA